GCTCATTCCCAAATAAGTCAACTCGAGAAGCATGACTGATCTACACCCTATTAGTTCATGTAACATCATTTACTATATTTTAGCAAAAGTCCTAGAAAATCGATTTAAATAGGTGCTACAACATGTAATTTCTTTAGAGCATAGTGCTTTCCTTCCCAACAAACTAATCATTGATAATGCTATGATTGCCTTTGAGATTTTGCACTATGTGCGCAACAAGGGCCATAGAAAAAAAGGCTGGCAAGTAGTGAAACTAGATATAAGTAAGGCATTTGATTGAGTGGAATGGCCATCCCTTATGCAGGTCATGCATGCTTTTGGTTTTGTAGAAGATTGGATTAGGTTAATTATGGCATGTGTTAGATCTATTCAATACATAGTTCTCCTAAATGGTGTGCAATCCGATAAGGTACTATTATCAAGAGGTTTGCCCCAAGGAAACCTATTGTCACCTTACTTGTTTATCCTTATTGTAGAAGGCCTCACAACTATGATCAAGGAAACTAAACAGCAAAAGTTGATACACAAGGTGAGGATATGTAGGCAGGCACCAAAGATTTCTCATATCCTTTTCGTAGATGATAGTTACTTATTTCTTTGGGAAAACTAAAGCCAAGAATTTGCTAAGTATCTTAAAAGATTACGAACAAGTGTCGAGATAAGTTGTCAATATGCAGAAATCCTTTGTTACCTTTAGTAGTAATGTGCAGTAACTGTCCAAGTCTAGAATCCGTCGACTATTAGGGATGAAAGAAACAAAACAAGAAAAAAGGTACTTAGGTCTTCTGGCTCATGTAGGACAATCTCAAATGGCAGCTTTCTTGAGCCTAAAGTTAAAGTTTTGGACAAAGGTGAATGAATGGTGTGAGCAACCTTTGTCTAAAGCAAGAAGAGAAGTCTTAATTAAATCAGTACTGTAGTCTTTTCCTACTTATATTGTAGGGCTTTTCTGCTTGCCCCTCACATTGTGCTTAAAGCTAGAGAAACTTATGAATGGATACTAGAGGGGAGGAGGAGATGATACTCACAAAATCCATTGGATGGAGTGGAGAAAGCCAGCCTTACCAAAGAAATGTGGCGAACTAGGTTTTCGAGCCTTCCATGAATTGAATATAGCAATGTTAGCTAAATAGGGTTGGAGAATGCTAGTTAACATTGAATCTTTGGCGGCAAAGGTGCTAAAAGCTAGATATTTCCCTTGCAGCGACTTTTTAAGGTCAAAGCTAAAGCTCATGTTGAGTCTTATATGGCACCGCATTTGGTGCTTGAAGGAACTACCGAAACAAGGCTGTAGACGACTATTAGGTGATAGCCGTAGCGCACTTATATGGGGTGATCCCTGGATCCCTAGTGGTACTTAATTCTTTGTCCAATCTTCATATCTTGAAGGTTGTGAGCTTTGGTATGTCAGTGATCTTATAGATGAGGACACATGTACATGGCGGAGGGATTTGATTATGAATATTTTTATCTCTCATGAAGCGTAGTTAATTATGTCGATACCACTGAGCTAGTTGAAAATGAGTGATGGCTGGATATGGGTTTTCACACGAGATGGAAATTATTTAGTTTGATCCAAGTATCACCAAGCAATTCACATGCGAAGTCTCTTCGTTGATCCCTCTAACTCCACCACTAGCTTTTGAGGGCACCATATTTCGACTCTAAATATACCAGAGAAGGTTTGCTCTTATTGGTTTAGAGTGCATATAGAGACATTCTCCCCACTATGATGAATTTACAATAAAAAAGAATAGTTGTTGATCTTGAGTGCCTAATGTGCCACATAGATATTGAAATTGTGGCCCACTGTTTTATGGCTTGTCTTGTGGCCTAGGCAGTGTGGTTGGGTTCCCCATTAAGCCTTAGAGTATCAGAGTTTCATGTAGACAACTTTGTTGGTTTCTTCAAGGCCATGACAGTTATTCTGGGATTGGAGAAACTGAACCTTTTTTGCATCTTATGCTAGAGGTTATAGTGCTCTAGGAATGAGACTCTATGGGAAGGCAAGACTATGGAACCTAAGCAAATAATAGTGAAGGCTTTATTCGTTCTGTAGGAACACAATGTTGCTCTTTTATCACGAGGTCGGCAGGCTGCTAGTGTGCAAAGGAAGAGTGAAACGCAATGGAGGCCACTTGATGCCGGGCTCATAAAGATCAATGTAGATGGAGCAATATTTGCATAACAAGAGCTTTATGGATTGGGAACTGTGGCACAACTCATTAAGGGAGGTGATAGCTGCTATGATGTCTAAGGAATATAGGTTGATCTCAATTGAAGAAAGTGAAGCATGTAACCTGTGAAAAGCTTTGAAATAGGTGAGGGACCTTATGATCAACAAGGTTGTTGTGGAGACTGATTACGCAAGCATCATCATAGCAATCAATTGTGATACTTTTTTGTTGAATTCCAACCTTGGATATATCATTCTAGACTATAAGAATCTCATGGCATCTTTCACCATATGTTGCCTACAACATGTTCGTCGCAGTGGAAACTCCATAGCTCATGAACTAGCAAAAAAGGCGTTCCAAGCAGAGGATGACTTTTCCTAGGTAAGTAGAGCACCAAAGTTTATAACACACCTTGTAACAGGAGATAGGGCATTTGATCACTGATGTACAAATCCTATTGCTCTTAATTAAGAATAAAGTGTGCATGATTTACATAAAGAAAAAAACAATAAAATGATTTTTCATCTATACAAAAAAAAAAATTTATTACATGTTACATAGATTTGGAATATGTAATCAAATAAAAATGGAGATGATAGAAAAGAATGAGTACTTGGAACTATAAAATTTATGTTTTTTGGTAGAAACTATCTCCAAGGATCTTTAGAATTAATTTGGGAAAGATAAAATTGATGAGGAATTCAACTTTCAAAAGTTTACTAATCAAGAATCAAAACTTATTTGTTTCTAATTGAGAATCTCAACTTTTCAATTGTCTTATTCAAAGACTTAACCTTACCAATTTTATTATAGGTCATGGGCCCACTTAAGCCCATTTCAACACCTTCGCTCACTTTTACACATTCTCAATTTTTGCAAGTGTTTCACTTCGGCTTCGGCCACAATAATCCTGCATCACATTTCACATCGACTTCGGCCATAGTGACCTACTGTCACACGTTTCACTTTGGCTACCGCCACGGTGACCTAGTGTCACATGCTTCGTTTTGGCTCCGACCATTATGACTCCGGTCATTATATTTTATTATGGCTCTGGCCATTATGACTCCGGTCATTATAGTTTATGACGGCTCCAGCCATTATGACTTCGGTCATTATAGTTTATCGCAGCTCCGGCCATTATGACTCCGGTCATCATTTTTTATCACGGCTCTGGTTACATTGTAACTCCAGTATTACTTTTTATTACAGGCTCTAGCCACCATGACTCTGGTCATCACCTCTTACTATGGCTACGACCGCATTGACTTCGGTCATTTTTTTTTATCATGACTACGGTCATAATCGCTCCAATCACATTTTATTTTGGGCATGGCCAACATGACCCCATATCGCATATTACGCTATTAGCTTCGGCCATATATGCATTTGGGTTACAGAATTTAATTCTTATTTTTACTTTTACCCCTGTAACTCATCTTTAATATTTTTGTCCCCTTTCATTTCTATTTATGCACTACTCCCATTGTCTTCGACAACATCATTCACAAGTGAATGACTTCGGGGGGGGGGAGGGGGGGAATAGTGTAAGGATAAGTCCGAGATTAAGGACCTCGGACGTACTATCACAATTCCTTGATAACAGAAGTGAAGTTAAACCCAGCATTTCTGGTCAAACGGCTGTACGATAAATACAGTGGGCATATCCACACCTGATTTATTACATGACTCTCCGGTCCTGAATTTGTAGCCGGTCCTGAGTTTATCTCCTTAAGGGACATGTCACACTTCGATTATCTTACTTGGCATGCCACGTGGGTTCCTCATTGAAGCCTATAAATACCCCCCAGGGGCCACGTAAAAAAGGTAATTGAAACCAACCCTAAGCTCCTTTTATCTCCGTTCTAAAGGTAGTCCCGATTATTGCTGACTTAAGCATCAGAGTGTTTACCCCAAGTTCCACCTCGGGGCTTTGCAGGTCAATCCGGAGTGTAGACGCGGACTGAAGAGGAACTTCTGGTTTGGTGCAATTACATTTTCCACATCACTATTCATCATGTTGATAAAACAAGCGATATGATAGCCATAGCAATGCTATATAAATAGGAAATTGAAACAGTTATTTTAGTAAAGTGGATCTATTTAATTTGTTTGCAATGGTCCTTTCCGTTATTACCATGCAAGATGCAATTTATGGTGTGACATGTACCATTGTCTTTGGCTTTTTCTTCTGTGTTATTTACTACTTTCACTGTGATTTAATTGTCTCAATTTAACTTTTATATAAAGCTTGACATATTAATTTTATATGGTAAATAAATAATAATTAAAAAATTATCTAATTGCACTATGGACATTATTGTTTTCTATAACTAATACCTTTTAAAATTTTCACTTCCAATTAACATCTTCTATAATTTGAAACTCGTGAAAAACTCAAAAGTTAACGACCAAAACCCTTATTTGTATCCTAACTTTATTGATAATTTGAAATTTTTTATGAGTTTCAGATTATAGAAAATGTTGATTTGAAATGAAGATTTGGGAAGATAATGATTGTAAAAAACAAGAATATCCAAAGTACAAATACGAAAGTCTGAGAAGTCTGACAAAAGGGCAGTACGTGGTGTGACAGTTGTCCTTTGAATGACGTGCGCAATAAATGCAGCCGTAAAAAGATAACTGCAACAGTTAAACGGACAGATTTAAAAAAAAACGAACAGTCGAGTTCAAAACGGTGCTGTTTGGGGTTGACCGTTGAATTCCAAACGGTGTAAATAAGAACCGTAAGATTAAACGAATCCCAGCCGTTGAGATCTAATTTTGCCCAGAGGTATAAATAGGCATTTTTTCTGCAGAAAGAAATTTACTTGCATTTCATTTTCTACAAAATTTCTGCAAAAAGCTTTATTGTGTGCTTCCTGCGCGTGAACTACTGCATCATTTGGAGATTTCTACATCAAGCTTTCGAAACCGAAATCAGGTAATGTATACTAACCTCTGATTTTGGTTTAGTCGAAGTGTCACTCTCCTTTCTCCCTTTCTGTGGTTGATTTAGAGTCCTCTGAAGGAAGTTAGGGTTAGAAGTGAGAATGATTTTGAATGTGCGTTAGAGGGGTTTTTTTTTTATTTTTTTTATTTTTTTTTTATTTTAGGGGGTCCTGACTTCATTCCTCCCCCCTACTTCATGCAGAGATTGAGAAAATGTCTTCAAAAGAAACAGTAAGTGTAGTAGGGAGTGAGGTGATGCCCCTGCAGTATGGTAGCATGGACTTGGAGAGTAGTCCATCTCCATCTAGTTTAGAGAAAACGGTGGAGGGGGTGAGAGGAGATGAGGTGGTTGGGGTTGGGGGAAATGAGGTGGTAGGGGTTGGGGGGTGATAGTGTATCCATCACTGTGGTAGAAGTAAAGGGTAGGAGAGAGAGAGGTTATGATGTAGATGTAGACATAGTGGAAGAGGTGAAGCAGTACAGATCTGAACTTGGGACCAGGGATAACCTGGGTCACTTAGTGGAGAATTACGAGATCTCTTCCCGAGTGTTAGTTAGGCCAGTTGGGGTGGAGGAGAGAGCGTGTTCTGCTCCTCGGGATCATTGGATGCCCGTGTATGCCCACTATTTGATAGCCAGGCTTAGGTTTCCAATTCCTGAGTTACTAGTGGGTATTCTTTTAGATTACAACATAGGGTTGACAAAGTTAGTTCCCAACACTATGAGGGTAATAATATGATTTTTGGTTTATTGTCGAGCTCAAGGGATTAAAGTGCCAACTGTAAATATGTTTAAGTATTTTTTTGTTTTAAAAGGGGGTAGTAGGAAGGATAAGGGGTAGTATTATTTCACCCCTAGGGTAGCTAATAGGGAGAGTAGGGCTTTATTTACTACGGGTCCTTCATCCATTAAAGGATGGAAGGAAAAATTCTTTTTTGTAGATGATACAGAATGGGAGAGGGGGGACGCCGAGGTAGAGATGTTAGCATCCTAGAAGGCTAAAAGAGCCAACCAGAATAAATTCAGTTTAAATGAAGATGAGGAGGAAGAGGTGAGGAAGTTAGTGAGGAAGGGGGGGATTTACTGAACATCATGGACCTCACTAGTGCAGAATGCATAGAAGCTGTTGAGCTCTATGGGTCAAGCGCTTTAAGTGAAGGTTTGTTTAATTTGCATTGTAGTACTGAATGTAGAATATATAACTGTGTGATTGATACTGTGTGTTTCCTGTTCTGCAGCTAAAATGGACAAATTTTTGGGTGCTGCAGGAGGAGCGACCATCCCTAAGAAGCCAAGGAAGAAGTCAAGGACTTCAACCAAACAAGTGGATGAGGGAAGAGTTGGAAATGAGGTAGTGCCTAGTACTGCAGCCGGAGTGGAAGAGGAAGAGCCAGAGCTGCAGTTGAAGAGAAAAAGTAGGGAGAAGAGAGGGGCACTACAGAAGAAGAAGAAAGTGATGGAGGAGTAGGAGAGGGGGAGCGAGGTTCCCCAGTTCGTACCTAGGCCTCTTCTTGTTGAGCTCGATCCTGAGCTCAGGGAATCTGAGGAGGAGGTTGAAGTATGAGCCCCTAGCAAGGGAAAGGGCCTTGTTCCCCCTTTGTCCTTTTAGAGTAGCCTGTTCGAGGCGAAGAACATGACGGGGGCTAGGAGGTTTATCAACGCCACCTTCCCCGAAGTGGACAAGCGTCACGCACAGGATGAGGCTCTGAGGTACTGTGGGGCTTCGGTGGTGAAGCACGTTTTAAAGGTATGTGAAGTTGTTTGTAGTTATTGGTGTTGTTTGTTTGTTTAATATCCTTCTTCTTCTCTTCTTTCGCTCTTAACTTCTGCTTTGAATTGTAGAGCGCGAGCTGGGTGAATGGTCTAGCCCAGGAGTTCATGGATAGTGTGAAGGAGTGCTCCCTCTTGCAAAGGCAGTGTGACCAGCTGCAGAAGGAGAAGGAAGAGTTGGAGAAGAAGAATAAGGAGATGTAAGAGGTGTTGGACGAGGTGGTTCCAGTTATGAAGCAACTAGAGCAAAAGAGGTCTTCCCTGAGCACTAAGCTCGTCTTTGAGGAGAGCAAATGAAGGATCTTTGAAAGCAAGCGTGAGGCTCAGGCGAAGGAAATAACGCTAATGAAGGATGCTTTTGTGGAGCTAAAGGAGAATGTGTAGATGTTGGTGCACAATGGGATGAAAGAGCACATCAGCAACTTCATTAGCTCCAGCTCGTTTGACAACATCGTCAACTTGTACCGGCTGCCAATTGCCATCATTGCTTTCACGGACTGTAGAAAGAAGGTGAAGGCTGAATATCCCGAAGTAGATATTACAAAGATCACCTTCGACGAGCAAAAAGAAGGAGTGGAGGAGAACGGTGAGAGCATGTCAGTAGACTTCCGTCCTCAGATCAAACTGAGGTGGCAGCATGATGCAGATGGACGCGCTGTTTTCCCTCCAAAGTTTGACTTCGAGTTCGTTGCAATGGAGGAAGAAGGGGCAGAGGTAGAGGAAGATGAAGTGGAGGCAGGAGTGGAAGGAACTGAAGTGGATGAGAGCCAACCAATTCCAGAAGTGGAGGTTCATCCAGTTCCTTCTGACGATGAGCAGCCTCCTCTGCCAGACGAGCAGCAGCCAACACAGCCACCTCTTCTAGCTGAGTAGGAGCCAGTTGAGCCACCTCTTCTAGTAGAAAAATAATTTTTGTTTGTTATTTTTTCTTTTATGTTTTTATTGTAACAACAGTAAAATAATCTGTTGTAAAACTTTTTACTTTGAATGAAAATTCAGTTTTGAAATCATATGTTGTGTTTGCTTTACATTTTTGTTATTTTATATTGATAGAAGAACTGAGATTACTTGAGATATGTTTTGAAGGAAAGTTAATCATTTCAGAGATAAAAAGAAGTTAATCACTTCTGAAATGAACTAAAGAGAAGTAAACCACTTCAGACGAATTAGGAAGAAGTAACTCGCTTCAAATGAATTAAAAGGAAATAAAGCACTTCATATGTGAAGTGACATTCATTAATAGGAGTGACATTCAAGGAATGAGTGAACTGATTAACCTCGAATACATAGAATAAGAGATAACATGAATCCCAACAATCACGAAGTAAGAAGTGTAAAGAATAGTAAGACATAGATCACTTGAAAGAATTTTATTATGGGTAAAATTTCTTCAAGTTATTGATATTCCAGACTCTAGGAACTCTCTTCCCTTCAGCGTCTTAGAGGATATAGGCACTAGGGTGTGGCACTTCGGCCACTGTATAAGGGCCTTCCCAGTTTGGGGCCAGTTTGCCAAAATGAGTTTCAAACCCTGTTAGGCGAGCTTTTCTGAGAACAAGATCTCCTACTTTGAAAGTTCGAGGAAGGACTCGTTTATTGTAGAAGTTGGCTAGTTTCTGCTTATATACAAGAGTTTGAAGTCGTGCTTCTTCTCTGACTTCATCAAGCATATCAAGATTTTCCCGAAGCAGTTGTCCATTTCGTCCTTCATCGGAATGGGTGACCTGGAAGCTTGGGACTCTTATTTTAATAGGAATGATTGCTTCAGTACCAAAGGCCAGGTGATAGGGTGTTTCACCTTTTTCATGAAATTATATGCTTTAGAATATGCTTTACATACTATGCATATTTGATCTAGGGTAGAATTTTAGGTGAGGGAGTGAGATAGAATGAAAATAGAGTAAAAGAAACTTGGGTTAGAAATAGTACCTGTGGCAGTTCGGCTCGTTGTTCTGTATGCCCAAAGGACGTTGTTGAGCTCGTCTGCCCATTTGGCCTTGTGCTGTTCCAACCTCGGCCTTATTCCTTCTAAAATGCATTTATTAACAGATTCTACCATACCATTTGACTCTGGATGGTAAACCGAAGTGAACTGTAATTTGATCCCATAGTTGGAACAAAAATCTCAAAAAGAGGTGCAGTTGAATTGAGTTCCATTATTAGCCACAATTTGATTCGGGATCCCATATCTGCAGATGATCGAGATAAAAACAAAGTCTTTGACCTTCTTAGAGGTAAGACTGGATAATAGCCGAGCTTCAACCCATTTTGTGAAATAATCTACACCAACAATCAGATGGGTTACACCACCAACCCTTTTCACAAATGGGCCCAAAAGATCCAGTCCCCACTGAGCAAATGGCCATGGTGCTACCAAGTTTGTGAGCTTTTCTGCTAGTTGGTGAGTTAGGTGTGCAAAGAATTGGCACTTCAGACATCTTTGGACAAAGTGAATGGCATCTTTATACATGTTTGGCCAATAGTATCCCTATCTTAAGGCTTTGTGGGCCAGAGTTCTAGCACCAACGTGACTTCCGCAGACACCTTCATGTACCTCCCGAGGTGCATACTTAGCTTCGTAGAGGTTTAAGCACCGTAGAAGAGGGAGTGACAATGATCTCTATAGAGGACCCCATCAATGAGTGTATACCGAGATGCTTTCTTCCTCAACTTCATTGCCTCCTGCCTGTCCTCAGGTACTATCCCATCTCGTAAAAAGGAGATAATTGAGTCAGTCCAACTCAGTGTGTCAGGGTCTGTGCTGATCTCCATCATCCGTGGCTTCATGAAGCTTGGTTCATCTAAGACCTCCACAAAAACTGATCTGGAACTTAAAGAGCTATCAGAGGCAAATTTAGAGAGTGAATTTGCCTGTTCATTCTCAATTCGGGGAATTTTGCTCAGACAGAATTTCTGGAAATTGCACTTCAGTTCAGCCATCAAGGCTACATATTTCACAATCACAGGATCAACGACTTCGTAGATTTAGTTGATTTGGTTCACCACCAGCTGGGAGTCACTGTATACTTGGATCGTGCTGATTTTCAACTCCAATGCTAGCTGTAGACCAAGCAGCAGAGATTCATACTCAGCCATGTTGTTTATTGCATCGAAGTTAAATTTCAGGGCATGTTCGCTTCGGTATCCATCTGCGCCAATCAAGAGAGCACCAGCTCCTGAACCCTTACTACTAGATGCCCCATCAACATATAAGGTCCAGTCGTTGGGTTTTGGATTAGGGGTTGAATGACCTGGAGTGCACTCTACAATAAAATCTGCCAGTGCTTGAGCTCGGATTGTAGATCTCTGCTGAAATGTTATTTCGAACTCCCCTAGTTCTATTGCCCACTTAATTAATCTCCCAGAGCATTCTGGCTTTTGTAGAATCTGTCAAAAAAGTTGGTCTGTAAGGATAATGATTGGGTGTGATTGGAAATATGGCCTCAACTTCCTGGCCAAAGTGACGACTGCTAAAGCTGCTTTCTCAGCTATAAGATACCTCAGCTCTACTCTATGCAGCACACTGCTGATATAATAGATTGGTTTCTGCTGCTTGGATTCTTTTCTCACCAGAACTGAATTAATGGCTTCATCTGAAATTCCCAAATACAAATAGAGAATCTCTCCGTCTACGGCCTTAGTCAGTAAAGGTGGCGAACTAAGATAAGACTTTAGCTCGTCGAATGC